GGCATAAAGATAGCCATCTTTCAGTATTTAGGTGTTTATTGACGTTTAGTTTTTAAATCTTGAAATTTCACCGCATGAAGTTTTCTATACAAATAACAATAGTTTTAAATATTATTATCGAATGAAAACAACAAACCGGAATCGATGAAAACCTTCTCAAGAAATATTAACATAATACCTATATGTAAAAATAACAAACCCGAAATTGCCTCCGGGCTGTTTAAATGTGCTTTGCGACGTAGGCGTTATGGATTACCTTTGCCCGAGCAAATGGGGTGTGAATTTTTATTATTACGGGCAAAAACCATTTGTGATTATTGTAAGGGTCGTGGCCCGGCAGGCCTTTAAGTCGAAGCCACAATTTCATTTTGCAGCCGCATTCAACCGTGAACAATACAACCAATTTATCTGCATTTCTATACCGACGACTGTCTGTCTGCTTACCGTGTATACTATATAACTGCGTATCACTTTCCCCTCTTTGTGAATTAATACGTATTTGCGTTTAATTAGATTTTCCACGACTCTCAAATATATATATGTATTTGGTTTCATAGCTACTAAAACGATTTGATTTCCAATTACCGGACGAATGTTGTTCTCAATCGTATCGGAATGATGAAAGTTCTAAATCATTCTAATACGCGTAACTATAACCTGTCAAGTGTTCAACGACAGAGAAATAATTCTTGTGGAGTTGCCCCAGATCGGTGCCCGACAAACGGGGTCGGACCATTTTGTACAACAAACTCGAGACTCGGGAGTGATGTTTATCTAACAAAGCCAAGACTACACGGTTGAAGTCGAGTAGACACACAGGAACTTGAGCGCTCGTTCTTCGACCCATCGTTGTACGTTAAAAAGGGTAGTATTACCTCATACGTGCTCTTGGGCCTAAAAATAACCCCGTCGCTATGCTTTATAGTAGGTACTATACTTTTCCACTTGACTATACCCCTTGAACAAACAACGGCCGAAGACGGCAAACAGTCTTAATTGCGTTTCCTGTCATAGCGCATCTCTTGAAATCTGAAATACTTAATTCTTAGAAGCTGCGACAACAGTCGGTTCTCTCTACCCGGTACAACCATTTATACTCTATAGTTTACCGTTTGTATACTCTTCTGCACGTTTCTTAATTCTTGAGAAACCCCTTCACTTTCTTCCGGTCACCCGACACAAATAATTATTAAAATTAAATACGTCCCTTTTACCCTAGCTTTTTTTGCTTGAGGCACTTTAATTTGTTTAATTATGTGTATTTGCTATGTTGATAAACTGTCATCCAAAGCTTTAACGAAATCATTCAGTAATCATCAGAGATCAGTTTTTCAACAAACTCTCCAGTAATAAAGATACATTTTGTTGGCATCTTGGAGATATTTATTTAATTTAAATAATTACTTATTGAGCGAATAAAAATCTTAGTTCTTGTTTGTTTTTATGTATAGGGGCGTTGGTTAGAGTACAGATTTTATCCTTATGGATTGCAAAATTAATATGATTCTACCGAAAGAGATGTGCCTATTATATTGTCAACTTGCCTGACATATGCATCAATGGGGTAAATATTATACAGTTCTAACAATAGCGTCCAAATTGAGGAGAGTGCCTAGGAGAGGGTTCAGACAGACCATGTGTTGTCACGGTTAGCTATGTACAGCTGACGTTGCGTGTTAACCTATCGTTAACTCAACAATAATTTCTCTCTCTCTCTCTGTCTCTCTCACTCTACACATACAATATTACAGTATTGCATACATATACTCACCTTGCACGAAACCCCATCGGTTTACTTGTATAAAGTTAATAATATTAAATTTACGAGTGATGAAACACCATAAACCTAAGTTCGGCGACAGATAAACCGGCGAACTCTTGTACTAATATACACACATTTTACACAATATTTTGCCTAAAAGCATTTGTAGGTATTTTATACATATATGTATAAGTATTATGTCCATTTTTTTAATAATATTATATTTTGTAAAATAACTATTAGGCGAACAATGAACAGTTAACGGGTTAACAGTATTCTTTATGGTTTTGCATGAAAATCATGCAGGTAAAATGACATCGTTTGGACATGTCGTGTATTTGATTGAAATTTCAAACTTTTCAACTATATCATAATGTTATAGAGTCGATGCAATATAACAACTATGCTATACCAGACGTACAGAATCAAAAAACAAAACAACACAACACGGTTGACGTTAAAAAAATATTATATGTTAAACAGCGAGTGCACCTGATATGCGGGATTTGCGAACGCGGTTTTGAAAAGTTTTGACGTTTGCGTGACACAATTAGGTACAAGTTGTGTTTTAATTAATGTTAGAACAACGCGGAAAGGGGATTATGAAAGTATACACAATAAAAAAACATTAATTTAAAACTGTGGGCGTCGCGACCCATGCTATTATTAAGTGAAAGGGTACAAAGTTGAGGAAGACACGGCAAACGAGTTTGTAACAATAAAAAGTTACTACGGGTGGTATCATGTTGGAAAAGTGTGAACACTCTAAATATTGTATCAACCGCGAAAATCAGTTTTACATGCAGGATATCCAATTTGAGGGCAACCCGACCGTTAACACGAGTGAAGAGAGTATAACATAAAAATAAACCACTACAAGTCGAATAGCCGACGGAACACACGTTTTTGGTAAGACTACACAACGGCTTTGAACGCTAAATGTTGCCATTTTTTCTGTAACTTTAATAGTAATAATAAGAGCAATAACGCACTTGTTAACAGGAAAATGTATCTTAATTTTTATTTAAAATGTAATTATCATTTTTAAAATGCAGAAGTATGACGGTTGACGGTATGTTAGAACACAAATAACTTATTGAAAGATACCTAATTAGGTATCTTTCAATAAGTTCATAAAGCGTTTCGGAATTTAGGAGAGACAAATAATAATAAAACTGTTATAATGCATGTGTGTAATTATCGCAAATGGAATACAGTAAAAAAATGGCACTTGTCAAACGTGTCCCGTTGAAATCAAGGCTGTAAAAAATATATTACAGCAAGAGAATTATTTTCAATATTGCTTTATACAATTTTTATGTAATACAACATATTACAGATTGAAAATGATAAAAAAAATGGAATTTTCAAACGGTAACAACGTACCTAGGTATCGTTATCAATAAAAATATAAGTACACAATACAGCTGCCACGCGCAACAGAGTTTTACACGGGCATTAGACCGGTAATGAAAAAAGGAAAGGGTGGCTCGATGGGTGTAACGGATGGTGTCTAGATTAAATTTTCTCTCGTTGTAAAAAAAAAAAATGTATATATATACATACATAAAATATAATATAACGAATGTTGTAAAAATGCAATTTCAGTACAGTATTAAAACCGTTGTCCATTGGAATCTCTATATATATACAACGTATACGGTTTTAACTGCCCAATAAAACTAGACATTACGCATTTTAACACAGAAACAGTTAATATTGTTTTGCCGTTTGCCTTCCTTTTGCTTTAGGGTTTTCTACCTATATATATATTATTATACTGCCGTCATTCCCCAGCCGAAATTTACCAATTACAGCTGCAGCGCCAACCCGCACCGCTTTCGTCCACATCCATTATAGTGTTCTGACGATGCACTCGTGTGTAATGTGTGTGGTACCGAGTGATGCGTTATTTTACGGCCAAAGCAACGTTGAATTCCGAATTTATAAATTATAATATACATATGTATAATGTTATTGTGCATAGTAGCGTTTATAAAGCGCAAGGATACGCTTGGTTTTCAACGAAAGCCAGGTACACATTGATCATCATGTGAGCTTAACAGGTCATAAAAACGGCCAACGTTGCCATCATGAGATGGTTACTAGTCGGATTTGCCGGGTACATAATATTGTTATTTTATAATGTATCGAAACGGCTAGAACTGTGTAATAATTACAAATAATGTAGTTGTCGACTAGTTTTAAACGAATTATTTACCAAGTCAGCATTTAAAAACTTCAATTTCCCTAGGAGATGGTCAAATCTCGCAGGGCGCCTTGTACGTTACTAATATATAACTCAATATATGGAAAGCGTATTGCCTATAGTCGACAGCTGCTGAAAATGTCCACTAGTAGGAAGCTGTCTTTTTGTGAACAGTTATTGTGTTTTGTCCATGACATTTTTATCATTTTTTTTCTATGATTTATCAAATATATCACAGAGTTAACATCATAATATAATCATCATTGACCACCATCAAGGCCCACCGTAATTTGTAGCGCCGGCACTGGACTTATCGCCGTGTGAAATCTCTAACAGCGATGACAACAGTGATGTGAGACGCCCGATATGACAATATGTAAAACGACTGCGGCTATTACTTTAAGGTTTAACGGCCGGGACCTATACTAGACGTTATCAACTGCCGGCGTATAATACTCTTTTCGGTAGCGAACAACTTTTCCCCCTAAATTCGCCTTATTTATATATTTTATTTTCGAATACCAGCGATATGACGCGACCCCGTATAATATAGAATCCCATAAATTATTACATCCCTGGGACCGAGGGGGGGGGGAAGGCGAAGGGGAGGCCACACGTCGTTTCCGCGACTACTGCAGTTACAATGGATCGCGGGCCCCATTGTCGTCCATACAACAAACGTATTAAATTTGACAATAACGACGCCAATTCATATAGACGGTTATTGGCTAAACGGCAACAAATCTGACCATAAAAAACAAACTTCGGTACAGGGGTGAAATCCAAAAAGTACTCAGGAAACGGATGGCGAAATGCATAAAGAGAGAAAACTTCTTCGCCCGTTTCTAACGTTACTGTATATCCCACTCAGCACTCCCATCCGCCACCGTGTACGATATTATTTACCATATAATGTCTGTTGAAATTGGCTAGTTGTTTTTGCAGCGAAAAAAAAAATGAAAAACGCGTTCGTATTGTAATGATACAAAAAAAAAAATGATCAAATAATTTGTTAAGAACCAAACTCACCTATCGTCGTAAACGAAACCGGCTTTCAGTGTGTTGTAGTTGATCAGAAACGCCAAAGCCATGCACACCGAGCCTCCAGCCTCCATTGCTAAAACTCGATTACAAGGCGCCTTGTGTTGGAAACCTGAGAATAAAACAACCAAGACACTATTAGCATTTATACTTTGTATTATATTCAATAACACATAACTTGGTGTAAGAACGGTCAATGTCACCCTGTAATTAAAATAAGTTCGAATTTTGGTAGCTATTGTAATAGAGGTGCATTTAGGTACAAAGTATAAACTTGTAAAAATAACAACAACATAATACTATACTAGTATGGCGTTGCTGATGTTTAAGTTGTAATATATTGATCTATTCTAGAGAAGGAATAACGTAAATTATTTTTGTTTAAAATAAGTAAATCCTAATACCTTAAGTACTGAACATTAGACTCTTAAAATCTTAATACGATAATACTCTTGAGTTTTGCCAAGCTAAATTTCACTGTTCTCAATAGGCACTACAAAAAGGATTATTAAATATATATATATTAAGGATTTTGTGTAGCAAATTTATAATACTGAAATTATAACAATAGCAACCAAAATATAATCCTTTTTATTTTCGATGCAAAGCTGAGGAGGTATTGTTTTATATCTTTCTATTGTTTTGAAAAATTAATATTTAATTCATAATTATTATAAAAGCTCTTTTATAAGACAATATAATTTACAAAAAAATTAATTTTCTCCGTCAAAAAAGACTTCATACTTGTTATTAAAAATATATTATAAATAATTCTTCTAAAAGCTCACGTAGATTACTATGATCATGTCAATACTAAACAACTATTATGTGTTCAGATAACATGTTTAATATTTCTTTTTTTCTAGTATTCTGCATAATGTGAAGTTTGCTAATTATTAATATATTATTCATCTCAGCACCGTAAATTCATTATACCTAATCTACACCAACTTATTGAACATTTTCAATTACCTACTTGAGCTTTTTATAAAAAAAAAAATATATTTGTACTAAAATGCACATAAATAAATAAACAAAATAAAGACCAAACGAGTAATGATATTAAAAGATCTGGTCTAGATTATCTTAAACGATTTGAATTTATTTTTTTCATTCGTTTACTAATTAGTTAATTAACATAAAAAAAACCATCAGATACGTTAGTAATCTTCTCTGACGAGATTATTACAATACGGAGAGTTTAAGATCAGAGATTTTGAAGAAGTCTTTTGTTTCTTTGTAACGATATTTAACGACGTTTTAGTCCGGTAATGCACACCGACGAAGTCAGTTATCCTGTCGTCCCCCGCAACCATTCAATACTAAGAACGACATTAAAAAAAATGGCCGCTTAAGGGTACGCTGTCCGGTTGACACGACCAACTAGATATAAATGAAAAAAAACTACAAACAAGATTCGTTCACAATAATGTTATCTTAAAATTATTTCTAACCCTAAGCACAATCTGAGAAGTAACTGCGACTGGATGTATCTTTTTCCAAAATATCCTCTCGTTTTAGCGAATAAAACTTATGCTTACCTCGCCGGTACCCGAGGCGATACCAGAGGGCTATTTTTTTTACAACCTTAACTAAAAGTAAATCTGTTCGTCTCTAACAGTAGCGCGTACCAAAAAGGTGGAAGGGGGACGGGACATTAGAGGCCTTAAGGGGCTACTCGGGTATTATGTACATACATAATATAGGTACCAGATACAGATATACAATATGATTATCATATCAGATCCGCACTATTACACGGTGTACAGAGCGAGAGAGGGACTGATGATCGACTTTTATATGGGGTCAGACCGTCGCGTCACAAAGGAATGCCATCGCGTTTTGTTGTAATTCCAGTGGCAATGTCATTGCGTTTTACCTACGGCCGTAATGGAACGGATGTATATATGTATATTATGTGTGATAGCAGCGGGCACTTTATAGGGATAAACGATACTTGGAAGATATTGTGCATCTACTACTTCTCCGCTGTCAACCCCTCGGGCCAATTTCTGACGTAGTCGTGCGAAGCGCAGATAACGCGATTTTATATACACCGCCAATGCGGCCGCCGGCTCTGATGAATGGGATGAAAATATTATTAAGCCGGCCGCATAAAGCACGCTTTTAACTAAGTCCTTATAATATACAAGTGCGGTGCCATTACGGCGGGCATAATACGACCAAAGACGTCAGCAGTATATAACTACTGACGTCTTGCCGAGTGCAAGACGTTGTGTACAGCAGAGGTATATAGAGGATATACTCAGCACCGCACGGTCTAGGGCAGAGACGACCGCCGCAAATAGACCACATCAAACGACTTTTCTTGTATACGCATATACACACAATAAATGCAATATACCTCGAGTCTTATTTTATACCTGGAACCTGTACACAAATGGCGACCGGCCCTGTTGTTAAGTCTGTCGCGGGCTAGACGCTGTACAAACGACTTGCATATTATACAGTTACAACGAGATGGGCATCTATATTTCGTTTATTCCGCTTGAAATTATTTAAGAAATAGATATATTTAAATAAAGCCGATTATACTATATTGCATACCTAATGCTGTGCAATAGATTTCGATTTTAACGAGAAATTTAATTATTTTCAAAATGCATTTCTTCTCAGCTATGGCCACCATATTATCTAAACATTTTAAGCTAAGAATAATTTGCTTGTCGATAATCTGTTTCGAATAATTACTTTTAAAACTATTGAAGTTTACAACGTAGGATTAGAAGTGGAGAGCGGGTATGTAACGCCTGCGGATAAAAATGATACTCCTCTCCTAAATTTTAAACTTTTATTAAAAGCTGGTTATCGATCGGTCAGAATTGTTCTTAATTAGAAAAGTTAATGAAATATATACATTACTATTTAAAAAGCTTAAGTTCATATGGTTATAACACATAAAATATGTGGGTTATATTTTTGAGTATAACAAAATATGTATTCTTGTAATTTTCACGACAAACTTAAAACTTTAAAATCCGTTTTACTCATAAATATGATTATCAATAAACATACGGGACTCTCTAGTAGTTAAAATTAATAAAAAAAGCCTTTAACGTTTGCTAGTACACATTTTAGGTCATAATAATATTTAGGTAAATTGCGTTTTTTATTGACTGCATCACTTCAAATGGTCTGCAGTTATATTTCAAGCCAATGGCTTTCTGATTCTTTTAACTAATTATTAGACTTATATTTTATTTACATTTCAAAACAAAGCAACTAAACCTTAAAACATAACAGCGCCGAACTTAGAAACGAAATGAAAAAATAAAGTACAGAATAATTGTGTTACGTTTCCGTTTTGGTAAACAAATTGTATTTTATATTAACACGATTTTTACTAGTGTGAACAAATTAACACTGCCTTGAAACTTTTTAAATAATATAGCGTAAGAAAAATTAAGAAACTTTGTTCCTCAGTTATGCATAAACATAAGAAAGTTTTTAAATCCATTACTCAAATTTTGTATCCAAAATAAGATTTGGTTATTAATATTTTGATGATTTTTAACCACTGTTTTGGAAAACCTACAAACTTATAAGAATGCAAATAACGATTTATAAATATTGCATAAATATTTTATTGAAAAATCATTGCATCGAATCCAATAAATATATATCTACTACAAATAAAATGTCCATTAATAACTTCAAGTATCCTAACCGCACCGGGTCGGTTTGATTTTCGGTCTTTAATTTTTTTTTCTGAGCAAGCGATAGTATAAAGAAAAAACTATCATCGCTCCGATTTGGGTCCAAAAATGGTTTTTTAACTACCAAATCAAACCCTTCTTAAACCCGCCTAGTAATGTTAAAAAACAATAATACGGCAAACGCACTGTAGCCAATTTGAGCTATAACAATTTGTATGCTGTAGTATACACACACCACTAATTTAAAGACTTTATAATATATTACCTTATAGACCACTAATTAATAGATATATCTAAATAAATCTGCAATGGCCATTATTTACATTTTACTCAATGGCAAAGAAATTTATGACATCGGGATAAATTTATTCTAACCAGTTTTAAGGTTTAATAAATACTTATTATTCGTGTAAATAAAAATTTGTTTTAAAAATGTTAGACCAAAAAATAATTAACTTAATAACTAATAATGTATCGATTAATCTAAGAAATTAATTTTAATAAAAAAAAAATAGAAAATAATTATGTAAGCCAATTTATATTGGAAAATATTAATCAAACTCAAACAGTATAATATACTTGTGTGCTCACGGTTAATTAATCGAATATACAGCTTAATAAGTTTACATAAATTAGTAGACCGTGGATTATGGCGACACGGCCGATATCCAAGTACACATTTTGTTTTAATTACTTTTTACTATAGCGTTATTAATAGTTTTAATTTGAAGTAAGTTTATTTGAACAAAAAAAACCAATATTCAATCGTAGTTTGTTTTGATTGCTTTAAGTTTTCTAATTTAGTACAAAGACTTTGCTGAACACACAGTAATAATATTCAGTTACAAACACAACGAACGAATAACGCAATAGCTTAACAATGTTAAAACATATACATTTTGTTCTATTCACGTGGTAAAAAAAACCCAATGTAATGTATTTAAATTTTTCTGTAAAAGAAAAAATCCGTTAAGTGAATTAAAAAATTATGAGCTGCACTTTGTGATGCTATACCATATATTATAGAATCGCTCGTTTGTACTGGACAGTATTAATATTTTGTTATAATAGACTTATAGCGTGGTAAAAGAACTTGAAACTTTATTGAGCACACATACTGATATACTTCTCGTTGTAATTCCAACGTTGTCTAGTCTACAACCGTTTACATTTGAATAATTATATATATATATATATTTAAATAATTTCTAAATAAGTTATTTAATTTTGTTTATAATCTCTATTTTTTTTGTTTTAATATGAATACTACGTGTATAACGGTATTCTACAATTTGATTTTTTGCTTTTTCGTTTATTCGTATCGAATGGCTAAGAATAACTAAGAAATTTAAATAAAACAATTTTAATTCTTGGTAATTTAAAAATCGACCGCTAAGATTATTATGAATCCGTATAAACATTTTTTTATAGATTTGAGTAGAAAATAGAAATAATATTTAGGTGATTACCGATTACAATATTAACCGATTAGCTATAATGTCGTATAGCAAACTCCAGCAGTATAATTATAAGTTTGAACGTTAGGTCTCCAATATTTGTATACGGTGTACCATAGATTAAGATATTCTATAATGTATATATATATTTTTTTTAAATGCACTTATAACCCTGGAGGCCTCTATGCCGTTGAGATATTTTTTATATTTGTACGAAAAACTTACACGGAAAATGCAGATTTCCGGTGTTGGACGATCCGCACCGGTTACGACACCGGCGGCGGTTGTCTACTGTGCAATTTCATGTTATCGTGGAAAAAGTTCTATAAAGACACTATAGTACGAGTTGATTGGAAACACTTGTATAGATAACCGAGACCGAAGACCGTGTATACAATTTTGTGTTCGAAAATTTTCAATATTAAAGGTGGAATTTTTTCTTTTCTCTAGTGCTGAGAGTCTTTAGCTGTTTATCGCGGTAGTGTTGTTGATCCCGAACAGCCGGTGTATATTATGATATTATTCTATAATAATATTGTCATATGCACGTACGCGGACACAAGCACGGCGAACCGCCGAAACGATACTTAAGCTATACTTAAGGGTGTGCGCACGGTGGCGAAACCGAAACGTTACTGCGACCAAACCGTCGGCACACCGCGGCTGTTGCCGGCGGTCCGAGGGATCATGCGTGCATAGGCGGAGTGCAGGCGGGTTATGTGGCACCCTCTTTTATATATATATACATATTATACATATATTTTGTTTTCCTACAAAAAAAACCCAACCCCATATACACAGCCGGGTATGCGATATGCACATTTCCGGCGGTAACAGTAGCAGCAAGTATACACAGCAGGGGTGCATGTATGGAAAGGGTTGGAGACAGTGGTCGTCAATGCACAATTTAATTGCACAATGCACGTTGCATATGCGCCCCCACCGCGCTGCCGTCCACGTAGAAAATGTATTTTTTAAATAAGAGCAACAAAGAGAGTGCGAGCAGCACAGGGCCGTGTACAATACGCATATTGTACGACATTATGTTGTGTTGAAAAGAAAACCATCTGTTTAGTTTAATGAGCCACGCGCCGATTCGTCAACTTACATTTTTCTTCCCCTAATTATCAACAGCGCTCGTTTTTTTTTTTACCGACCATTAAACTAAGTAGGTGGTACTTTGAATGGGATCCACCGTCCCGCTCAGTCATATTTTTCATTTGAAATTAATCAGGCAACGCGAGGTGTAATGTGTATACAGAAAATAATAATGCTAGATTGAAAGTACCTCGGCTGTAAGATTCTGTAAGAAAAAAATGTATTCTAAAAGAAACTCAAATAATAATTATTAAATAATTATGTATGTCTATTGAAATACATTTATTTGGGACAATTTTTAGATTTTTTAAATTAAAGGTTCATTGTATACTATGTATTAAACAAATAATAGTAATCATATAATAATAATAATAATAAGTTTAATCGTTCAATACTATCGAATAAAAATGTTAACTAAATAAATATTGTTTTATTTCACAAAATAAAACTGTTTAACTGATTATACTTGTAAATTATTATTTTTTATTCGTTGCCTATTGAAACAACAATTTCCCGGGTTTGATTTCTAGTATACTAATACCAGAAATGTATAAATTTTTATTTGTTATTTTATGAATTTAAAAAATTGGAAATTATAATTCAAAAGTTGATATTAGGCTAAATTATCATAAATGATCGTAGTATAATAGTTAAATGCAAAAATATTGTACATCTATTTTATTTTTCGATAAATAATATTCATATCAAAATACAGCTTTGCATTCACATTAATGACAAAATGTATTATAAACGTTAATAATAAATTACTAATTTCTTATTTTCTATTCAAATATGTTTTAGTGTAAGTTGTATATTTTTTATAGAAAAGTTCTAATATTTATATTATTTGCCCACAAACAAAATAATTGACCATACTCCAACTATTGTTAGAAAATATCATCATAAAATATAATATTATGTTTCATAGTACCAATGACAGGTTTTTATGAATGTTTCCAGATAAATGTTTAACTAAACATTATTAATTAAATTTTTAACATTTATTTTCAATAGTAACGTCAGATTTACAGTGGTTATTATTGTTTTTCAACGGTTTAAACACAGAATCCGATATTTCTGAGTTAAACTTTGCTAAAACCGTAAGTACATGGTCGCCAAGATATATTAAATCCCTTTGGGGGTCGTCAGGAGAAATCAATCCGTAATGATTGTCCAACAACGCGTAACGTCTATTTTTCAATTCTATTATATTTTCTTCCAGTTTTTTGCTGATCTTCACCACTTGCAATAATTCATTTTCTAACTCTTGCCATGTGTTGCTTTTTAATTTGATATTAACCTCAAGTTCGCATCTGTCTCCAACGAGTTGTTCTAATTCTTTGTTTAATTCTTCAATTTTTATCTTTGATTCTTTTTTTATGGTTTTAAATTCACCAATCAATTTTTCTAACTTGTCTTTAAACTTTTTATTCAAAGTCATTAATCCTTTTTGTTCACTACTCGCAGCGTTGTACAATCGATTGATTTCTTTCCAATTTTCTTCTTCCTCTTTTACACTTTTTAGTCGGTTTTCGATTTGCTTAGCACAATTCGCTATTTCTTGTTTCATTGTGTTTTTAAATAACTCAAGGTTTGCATTTGATTTGCATACTTCTTTCGAACCTAATTCTATACGATCTTTATTGTTATGTAATAACCGGCGAAAGTCAATAATTTTTAACATCATCAACGTTTGTAGTTCCTTGAAACTTTCAATTGCACTAGCTTTGGTAATCTTGTTAATATTGGCTTGCTCCTCAAATTGAAGTAGCTTTTCATTTGCACGTTCAAGTCTAAATTTCACTTCACACACCTCAGCTACTCTCACATCTTTTTCAATGCATTGGCTGTCTAATTTTTTTTTTAAATATTTACACTCCGCCGATTTTTTCCAAAATTGTATATTTTGATTAAAACTGACCCGATTCAGGTTGGACGTCAAGCATTTCGCTTTATACAACTTACGTTCAACAATTTGTATTTTTTGTTGCAATTGTACTCTTAGTTCTTCTTGAATTTTTATATCTTGCACGAGCTGCATCTGCGCCATTTTAGAATTGTGTAGTTCATTGTCGATACACTGAACGACGCTTTTGTGTTTGTTGTATTCTGTTTTAACTTCCACGTATTTTTCATAAAGAGTATCGTAGTCCTTAGTCATACTTGAAAACTGATTTTTATTGTTTTCCTCAATCCTATTTATACATGCTACTATACCGGTGACTTGAAAACGCAATTCTTCTTTAGTTAGAAACATATCATCCAAATGTTGGGCTTTGGCTTTCAATTGTTTGATGCTCGTACAATTCATTTTTTCAGCAGTAGGAATACAACTTGATTAAAAACAAAATTCCGATAATTGGTTAATCAAAAGTACAATTTTGAATTTTTATATCAAATTTAACATTTACAAATCGCATACAAAAACGATGTTTGTTTATTTATTCCAAACATTATTATTTACTTTTATACCAAACAGCTGCGCGATAGATAAATATAGATTAAAATCAAATCAAATCAATTTTAATTACATTGGCACAGTCTTTAACTTCAATTTATAACTTCACTATTAAATTAGTTAATTTATCCAATTTATCTTGTTTTCTGTTTAACCGATGTATTATAATTTCTATTGAAATTCCATTTGTTAACTAGGTTAAAATAATTTCGTTAATCCAATTTTAAGAGTAAATATAAAGTATTTTAACTGTTGGTTAATTGCGATTAAATAATACATGGCTGACAATAAAACCATATACTTATTAATGTTAGTCCAGAAATAGCCTAACTGAGGGGACATGAGCGAAATACGAATTTACTACTTCACAATTCATTATTCTTTGTTTATTCATTTTATTGTATCCAATTACTTTGCAACAATGATAACACTGACAGAACTACAGCTACTAGTCTATAAAACGTTTGTCAATATTACACTTAATTGCCTAAGATAGAAGTTGTAGTATTGAAGTTTTATCGATTCCATATAAATTATGAGATAAATTACTTCTACGAATAACAAGGTCGTTAAAACATAATACTTAAAGGGTAATCGTTTTTTGTAATTATAGTAGTTGATATTATATGTTCAGTTAAAGTTGTTTCATAAGACATAGTAAAATATATTTACTTTAAACGTACACAAATATTAATATATCATAATATAACTGTACAACGACGTCATACCAGTTAAGCTATCTATGCAGCTACACTAAATAACCTAACAAACAACAAATCCATTTAGCAAAATCATTGACTTTATAATATACTATATTATATAATATAAAATATAGTACATATTTTTCAACTCAGAACAAATGAAAAAAAATATTTATATTACATTTTTAGTGTACTATAACTATCTAAATAATGTTCGACACTACTTCGGGTTCACTGCAAACCAATCTACGGATTGAATTTACAACTTGAATTCCATATATTACACTAACTAGTCAGAAATGTCAGTCTATGTGGCTCAATGTTATTAGTAGGTATCTGATTTTATTTTTGTTAATAATTTCAAGGAAACTGCATGAGTAAAATTTTGTTTATATCAAATTTACATCCATAAAATTAGTCGCTGTCAATTTTTCGCTGTTGGCCTGCCAAATGACCATGTTTCATGTCACTATCGCAAATCATAGGAAACTTTTAGTACAAAATTACATTAAATACCACTATAATGGTTTTGCTCTCGTTAGTCGTTAATAATCCAATTGTGGTTTAACTCTGTAACGAAAATGAAGGGACCGATAAATGATTTCATCTGTTCGGATAGTACAGTAAATATAATTAAAAACATATCTGCTGACAGACCCGGCTAATACACATAATTAATGATAAATCGAATAATACCTAATTGAATTAAAACTATAATACGTCAATTAATTTATAAAACGAGTATCAACCAGAAAATATCTACATTTAAATTATAAAAAATACATTTTAGTTTTGATGCGGAGCTGAGAAGCCACAGTTTTTATAATGATGTGTTTTTATTTTTGTGTCTGGACTCACGATAAATTTGAAACCACTGAACCGATTTCTTCATGTAGCTACTCTATAGATCAGAAATTGTACATGAAAAGTACTTTATTGGGGCAACATTTTTTAAAAAATCCCCCCCTTACTCTTCAAAATTGAAAATAACACCCAAAAAATGTTCATTTTTTAAATTTAAAATGACGTTGCTCTGATACTTTGTTGAAAATTTAAAGTCAAGTTAATTCCAAATTTGTATGTTATGTTCTTTAAGCATAGTACTACCGATAAGTATTAACATACCAAAATATATATTATAAGCATTATAAGAGATAGTTGAATATTCCATTATTTCACTTTTTCAAGCAAAGTTTTAGAGATTTCTAAATTCTGTAGTGTAACTTCTTTTTTAATAAAGGAAAACCTGTGGACCGATTTACTAGAATAGCACCTCTATAGATCCGCACCCGTATGCGGTTTGTACTTTGGTGGATCAAAAATATAAAAAATCACCATCTTCATCCTCAAAAACCGAGAAAAATCGTATTTGCTATATCTTCGCGAAAAACGGTCGGATCCAGTAGCAATTTTTATAAAATATTGATTATGTATGCCTCTATTCACACATTATCTAAGACCCTTATTTCGACAGCCTCTGCTCTCCATATTTTCGAATGAATCATTTTATTTCAGATATGTTTCACACAGATATTTCGATATATTTATTGAGTATTCATCTAAAAAGATATATTTTAATTTTAAATAAAATCACGTGTAAAAACCCAACTAATTAGTATGTGTACCATAATACGAGTATAATATGACTTGTTCACGTCATATTCTAATTTAATATTAAAATGTAAAATATTTGTGATTACACAAATGTAATATTGTATTCTCTTGACAGCAAAATGCGTATTGAACAAGTTCTGTGTATACAAGTGTCCTACGTAAAGTGTAAAGTTCAAATTATTAAAAAAAAAAAAAACAAAATGCGTGTTAAAAAAGTTTTAAAACAAAAGCAAATCTAGAAAAGCCAGTACAGCGGGTACGGGGCGTAATGGTAATGGAAAATATTTAGAGGGGGGATCACAGGTCTATAAAAAAAATCAGTAGAAAAGTATGTAAGCTTATCGGGTGTTTTTCTTGATTCTGAAAATCAAGTTGTACCATTTTTGTGTGAAGGCAAAAATTCCAAACACATTTGAAACTTAATTGACTTTTTTTAAAAATTCATATAGCGCCGTATATTTTTAAGTTAGAAATGTAAAATTATTTAAAACTTAAAATATTTCGTAAGAATTACAATTAAAACCATTAATTGAAGATTTTCTCTCACTAAACATTTCAATTTCAGATAAAAATATGTGTACCAATGTAATTTTTACACATTATTTTATTTAAAAATTAATATACATGGTTTTATAAATGTTCAAAACAGTAGCTGAAAAAAATATACGTGTTCAAAGAGTGCATTGTGTTTGTGCGAGATTACCGTCAATCTATGATTTATTATAACCTTTGGTTTTAATATATCAAGGTATATAAACAAGTGTGCACATTTATGCAAAAAAAAAAAAATGAAATCGTGAACAATAATTTTATACATCGAAAATACTAAAATGACACAATTGTTTAACATTACACTGAACCAAATGATTATTTTTTCACAATAATTTTCTTTGAAAAAAGCAAATACATCATGTTACAACCATTTATTATATAAGTATAAAATGTGAAATTTACTACAATTTTTAAAAAATCAATCCTTCTTCCTCGAAATCAGGAAAAACCGAAACATAATTTGATAATTCTTCATTTTTTATTCTTAATTTTCTGTAACTTTGTGGTAAAACCCTTTCCCATTATACCTTAAATCTAAATTTCACCAAATCCTCAAATATACCGCAGTACTTTTCTATTAAATAAAAACAGGACATTCTAAAATATGTAAATTGAAAAATTATTTTGAATCCAGTTTCAAAACGAAACGTTTGTTTGAAAAAGGTTATATCACTTTCAAATAAAATAATATACTCTTAAACATCTTTGACATCCCCGTCCCTAATATGCTTTGACACTAATGTTCCTCGACTTAAGTTGGAGATTTATTTATAAAATGAAATAGATTACATTTTTAATAAACAAACGTGTACTAATTACAAACATGTTGTACATAAAAGTCATTATACCAATGTAATTTTTATTTTATTGAACATATAATATATTAGGTTTTATGAGTATTGATAAAAACGGCAGATGAAAAAAAATATATTAAAATATCATTGTGAAATTATGTTTAATGCGATAATATTGTCAACCTGTGATGTAAAAAATAATATTTGAGGGCAATAATATAAAAGTATAGTGCAAATTGCGAAAATAAAAAAAAACAAGTAAAGTGGGATTGAGGTACGAAGTATAGCCGAAGGGTCATAGATCCATATGGATTATCACCACTGAAAGTGATAACATCACTTTCAAATGAACAATTTGATGTGATCCTGTAAAACGATAATGTTCTTAAAAATGTATTTTTAATGTTAGAGTGAATACGTTTAGGGTCTATAACAATTTATTGCCATAATTATTTAATCATCGGTTGAATGTTGATTCTCTCACATTGACTACGATCACAGAGTAATTTTTTTCTCTTTTTTCTTAGTTTTTCTTTATTAAAAAATCTTACTCTTAAAACTAAAAATTCGAAATAAAGAAAATGATTCCACCCTATCTAGGGGAAAGGGTTTATGTTACTTTTTTAGTTTGACAACGTACGGTAGTAGTATGTTTGAAGAATATTCCATTTACATTTTGTTTCTTTTTAAAAATGTATAAGACACCGTAATTTTAAGTGGAAAAATATGTAAATTTGTTTGTCGTTTCTCTCGATTTCGAAAAACACGGTGTAGGTATCTTTTTTTGTGTATACAAGTGTTCCACAATCTATAACGTTTTAAATTGTAACAAATAAATTGATACAATACAATTTTGAATTTTTTGCACACAGATATTATAATATTTTTTTTTAACTGCAGATATGAGCGTTTATGAAACCCAAAATATTATATGTTCAATAAAATAACGTGTACAAACTACATAGGTAAAATTATTTTAATTTATACCGTCTGTAATGTGTACACGTTGTCTTTAATATATTTGTTTTATGCCTCAATGTGTGTTCTAAGACTTAAAACATTTGCGTTAAAACAACTTACGTTTATTACTCATAAACGTAATATTGTATCAATCTGATAGCAAAATGCGTCTCTAAAAAGTTTTAAGCAAAAGCATAATTATAAATCTAGTACAGCGGAGACGGGGTATAGTGGTAACAGAACATATGGGGATAGGGGGTCTAAAAAAAATAAAAATTACACAGTTTTTTAATGTTGGCGGTTAACAAAATGGTGGTTCCACTACATGATACAAATATCTTGTTATGTTGGCTTACCAACAAGCTTACCCACAATTCATTAGGGAATATTATTTAGTTTGTTAGACCAATGACTAACAACCATGTTAACCTAATGATTCAACTAATAATTTTTAAGGTTAAATAAAAAGAAGTTAAACTAAAAATTATAAAATAGTTCCACCACATAATTAGAATTTTTTATTGGTTATAGATCATAAAAAAAATAATTATATTGGATATCAAAAAATCTATACTTATGAGTTATTCAAAGTTATAATAAGTAAAATGACTTGTTATAAGTTTGAGGTTTCAAATTATCTTTTTAGCATCATTGAGATAATATTCAGATAAAACAATATAATATGATTTATTATTGACATCGATTTGAAACGAATTCTTTAATTTAATTGAGAAAAATTTAAATATAGTATATATTTAGCTTCGACGTGGATTGTTTTTACAATGATGAGCTTTTATTATTTAATTATTTTGTAAGTGTGCTTAAATTCAACAATTTTTGAACCGAGCCAACCGCTTTTTTTAGATAACAAGACTATAGAGAAATCGGAACTGGAAGGAACTTTTTTGGGCCAAAACAAGTTTATCCTTTCCCCTTTCAAATCGAAATAATCAATCAAAATTTAAAAATGTTTAATATTTTACATGTTTTGAAATTAAAATTAAAAAAAGTTAAATTGTGTGAAATATTTTTTAGATGGGGTGCTATCGATAAACGTTGACACTAAATACATATATTTTGCACATGATTAATTAGTTTTAAAAGTGAACTTCTAAAAAAATAGAGCGCGTGTGTTCAAAATGTCATTCAACGGTATTAAAAACGTTCTTAAACATCTGTTGCCTACAGCAAATTACACATACATAACTAGTTACAAACTTGAAACGGTTTTCATTTTTGAAGTATATTTTCTTATAGCAGTACCTTCTATATCGTATTTCAAAATAATAATTTTTAGTGACAAAAAATCATAGCAATAACTGATTTATTTATTTTGTTCAACACTATTTGAATCACAGTCATCAATAAATAATATAATATTCCTATTACATTATAAAATCGTCATAGTTAATATAATCGAAAAGTCTCAAAATAGTTTTAACATCCAAAACTAACTGTTAATTATTCTGAATCCAAGTTTAATTTCTAAAAAATTAACATGTATTTAAAAACAACCATACTGTTTTTCTGCATGACGTTATACTTTTTACTATGTCAGGGTGTAAAACCAGTTCCTGAAGACCGAGAAAGAGATCCAGATCCTGTTGACAGAGTAAGTATAATGAGCACTTTTTATTAAAAAAAGGCATTTAATGCTGAGATTCTTGCTTCACTATATACAAAACGTAATATATTGTTTAAAAAATGTTTGTTATGTTTATAAAATCATTATTTTCGCTTCGAAGAGTTTATTAAACAATATGAAAAATGCCTCAACTGCTTTGAAATTAATGTTATTTTACTGAAAAATCCACAAGGCACATTACATGTCTTTTAGTATGGGGTTTGGATTTTGCTAAAGAAGGCTCAGATTTATGTGTAAATTATAATACACATTTTAATTTTTTAATTCTTAATCTGAAAATTATAGTTGGTGATTTATCGCGTAATCACTTCCAATTTGGAACCAGGAGGCTATGTGGCATTTAAAAATTTAAGAAAAATAGTAAACGATTGTGCAAAGGAACTTGGATCACGCATACGGTTACCCGGACAGGGGGTATCTACGCTAGGTAATATACACTAAACATATTTTTTTTAATTTATATAATTGTAAATGAATTCATTATTTTAAACTAAAGAATTATAACTTGTGAATCAAATTCAGCATTTTAAAAATTAGTGACTTTTTAATGCTTTAAAAAAATTATACTTAGACTACCCGTACGGTCTACCCGGAGCTGATAAAGCGAAATTAAGTAATATGCAATAGCAAAATATTCAAAAAATATGTTTGTGCATAATTAAAAACTATTGAAAAGACATTTTAACAATAATTTTTGTCATTTATAGCAAATTAATTGATTTGTTTAAACTAAAGAATTAAAGCTCGTGAACCAAAAAAACAATTTTAAAAATGAGACCTTTTTAGGCACTAAAAAAAATTAAAATACTATGATAAAATGAACGATACCTTTTTTTTAACTTAATTTATTTTACTAAGAATGTATAATAATTCAATAAGACGTCATTATTCTTTAATTACAACAATTTAAAATACAATTTTTTTGAAATTATAACGAGACAATTGTCAATTCTTTTGGAATTAAATTTACCTATTTTGGCTGTTAAAAATATATAATTCTTTTAGATTTTATTTCATCGGCGGACTACCTTGAAGGCCTAGCCCTATGGTATGTAGGTGCATCAGATATCGAAAAATCGGTAAACAAAAACTATAATACTATTTCGCAGATAAAAGACTCGTTAAGTTACTTGTGTGAGATATTTATATTATATGGAGCTTCCAGTTACAGCATAAGGCCAAGGAGATTAAAAAATTATGTACAATCAAGTTTCTGGCTAAAATTGTAGTGTTTATTATATGGCCAAAAGTAACTTAACATAGATAATTAAACTATTTTGAATTTATTATTTAGTTCTAATTTGAACGTTGAACGTACAACATATCTCTTATCTCTTATCTTCTATATCTTACCTCTATCCCCTACCCACTATCTCCCGCCCCTATCTCCCGTCCCTATCACTCACCCCTATCCCCTACCCCTATCTCATATTTCATATCAGATAACAGCGTAACACTTTTTTGACATTTTCATGTCTTAGCTCTGGCACATAACCCTGGCACATTTCCGAAAAAAGCGTTACCGAAAAAGAAATGGGGTTGAAGAAGAGGTTGGGGATGGGAATGGGAATGGGAATGTGGTGGAATTAGCTGAGGCAAATAACCGAAAAAAAGCGTAACGAAAAAAGCGTTACCACATGGAGTGGGGTTGGGGGTTGGAATGGGGTTAGGGGTGAAAGATAGGGGTAGAATATAGGGGGTGGGGTTGGGGAGGTTACAAGATAGGGGTGGGATATAGGGGTAGTAGATGGGGTGAGTGATAGGGATGGGAGATAGTGGGTAGGGGATAGGGGTAAGAGAGATTAGAGATAAGAGTTATGTTGTACGTTCAACGTTCAAATTAGAACTAAATAATAAATTCAAAAGAGTTTAAGGGCCCAAATTCTCTATGAATTGTTTTAAGCCAGATAATAACACTACAATTTTAGCCAGAAACTTGACGTTTTAATATACTAGCTTGTTAATATACTATATCATTATCTATAATTCCACCACTACTCTAAATTTATTCGGTACTCCAACGAGACATGAAAATGTTCTTTCGTGGTTGCACACTCGGCTGAAAAACTTTTTATTATTATTTAAATTAATTTTTTTCACTTTTAGATATTTTTTATTGTTTTGCACTGAAGGATTTTTTTACGCGCATTATTTACTTTTAAATATTCATTCATTTTTTTATCTTTTTGGATCGAATGGTATTCTTTTCCCTTTTACTGAAAAATATATACAAACTTCTCGACAAGTAAAACGATACAATTTTCTTAGTAAATGATTTAATTACTGATTTTTCTAACATAAATAATAAATAGGACACATTTTTCCAAAGATATCTTCCAGTTTTTGACATAACAGAGAGAATTTAGAGAATTTTTCCTAATAAAAAAATAAACGTTAAATACTAAAATTGATGTTTTTATGCAGAAAAAATCCTCAAGGCATAATTACGTCTATAATTTTTATAAGTGTAGTTATAGTATACTTTGGCCATCAACAAATAAAGTAGAAGCAGAGAAGCTGATTTTTAATAATTTCATCTGATAGCTAATAACAATATAAAAAAATCAATAAACTAGTAAAGGTAAAACTAAAGTCTTTATATGAGTATGGCCAAAATAATGGGAAAACAAATTTTTAAAAAATTTGAGAACATTCTGTTATCCTAACAGACACGCAGAGTAATATTCATAAATTTTTATGGAGGGGGTTTCTCTAAACGTTCGTTAATATTTGATAATTTGATCTATAATATATACAATATATATTGTTTAATAAATGTATTTAAAGTTTTATTTTGCTATAAAAGACTCAATTCTATGTGTAAATTATGATATATATTATAAAGTTTAATTATTATTCTGAAAATTGAGGGAATGCGCTGGTGAGGAAAAAGTGGGGCGTGATGGCGTAAACCTTGATCAATTAAAAGCTATATTAGCTGATATAGCAAAGACACTCGAATTTCCAGAAGAGTATTCCAGTAATGAAGCATTGCAAAGAGAAATTAATAAAACAACATGTAATAATCAAAAGAAATTTTACTATATAAACTAATATTTTATTATTATTCTTAAGGATGTTTTTCTAGTGTAAGACAATGTTATTCTCAACTCTTTGGCCTGATTAGTTTGTTTAAAAAATGTATAATGTTTTTTTGCTTTCAGACCGTATATTTGACAAGACAGATGTTAGATACTACGCCCTAGCGTTTCTAGCTTCAGTAGATCCAAAAATATCGGTAAATAAAAAATATAATACAGTTAAAATGCTCGTTAGGTTGCCTAGTGGAGATTTCTGAAATATTCATAAGTTCAATTCTTCTGTGTAAAATAGATTTTTTATAACCTCAACAAATACTCGGTACTTTTGTATATTTAAAATTCTCAGAGTTATGCTGTTATATATAAAATGTAAATTATAGTTTATTGAGTTAATCGTATGTTCTTACCGTCCTTGTTTTTGGGCTAAAATAATTTTGTATGGCGATTTACGAAGAACATAAAATAAAGAAAAAATAGGAGTTCTTCTATTCTAGAACCATTTAAACTATTTCCAAACGATTTCTTCCAGTTTTTAACAAAGAAAGAGAGAATTTTAATAAAGTATTTTTTTCCTAATATGAAGAAATAGCGTTAACTATTATGAAATTGATATGTTGTTGGAGAAAAAAATCTCATGGCTTATTATACTTCTTGTAGGTAGTAATTATTATTTCGCTAAAGAAAAATCAGTTATATTTGTAAATTGTTATACTCTATTTATTGTCTAATTATTACTCTTGCAACAATAGAAAATGGTACATAATCTGGTCTTAATAAACACAAATCCTAATGGCAATAAATATCCAGAGTATGAAAATTTAATGAAGGCAGTAATGCTGGAAACGGAGATAAAAATAAAATACCTAACTCCTGATGAATACCGACAAGATACTCTCAGCCAATATAGGGGTAATAAAACAATAGAATAATATTCATTAATTGAGTTGTGTAAAATGTTTAGTAGAACTATTGCAAAGTCATTTAAATAATACATTTTGTCATTTCTATAGCTGTAAATGAATTCATTTTTTTAAACTAAAAAATCATAACCCGTGAACCAAATAAATAATTTAAAAACGGCTGACTATTTTTTTTTGATGAGTTAAAAAAAACATTAGTAAAAAATTAGGTACATGTTCATTAAAAAAAAAAAAAAAATTGTTGAATTTTACTAATTTTATATAATTAAATTTTACGTTATTTTTCTAAAATTACACATTAATTCATTAATTATACAAATTTAACATTGTTACTCTCAAATATTTTCGCATGATTTTTTTGTCAAATTATTAACATAAATTATTTACTTTCAGGCGGCAAATTAACTGTAGACCAAGTTGAAGAATTAGTTATTCATGATTTGTATCATCAAACGACATTCATTAATTAATAACTGTTATTAAATTGGGGGTTGTAAGTAGTATATCACATGCAATGTATTGTTAATCGATTAATAAATTGTTTTGCTCTTATATTTCGTTCGTATTTATTGTAGTCATTTTAAGTACTGTTTGAAGTCTAAAATATTTCATGTGAAATATTGGACTTTTGTTAATTACTTCTCTATTTGGCCCTACTGCTTTACAAATAATACTTAATTATTCCCTACTATTTCGGCGCAATGACATTTAGTGACACTCTATTTAAAAAAAACCAATAGTATTTTTTGACAGCAATTAGCTCATTCGTGTGTATTTAAATAAAATGTATATTTTGAAAAAAAAACACCCCTATGATAAAACTTTTATATTTAGATGATACATAGATAAATTGACAATACAAACTTTAACACAGATTTTAATTAAAACAATTTATGTATGTTGCCAACCAATGATTTATTATAACCTTCGACTTTTAATATGCCAAGTTATATGTACAAGTGGTCACACTATAGCGAAAAAATTTAGTTTGAGAGCAATGATAAAAAGTATAGTGCAAATTAAAAATATAAAAGAGCCAGTACTATGGGGTTAAGACTCAAAGTATATTATAGGGTCACATATATATACACATATAAAATATTACAACTAAAAGTGATAATACAATTTCAAATAAATGCATTGATACTATAATCTTTAATATTAGAAATACAAATATCGATCAAAGTATTGTACCTAATAACAATAGTGTTTTAAAAAAAGTGTTTTTGTTTTTACTTATTAGGATGGATATTTCTGTTATAATAATTATTTTAACCGAATAGTGTGATAAAGTTAACATTCGGTTCGCTATATTATAAAATATTAATTATAATTTTTACAAATATTAGAATTTTAACATTTGGGGTGCCATTCCCTCGACACCACTGAACTGGCTTTTGAAACCAATTATTTAGTTTAATTGATATATATTGTTAAACAAAAAAATCAAAATTTTTAACAAAATAATGGCTGACTTTTCTTATTAAAGAGCCCGTTGTTTATATAATAATTAATGATAATAAAGGACCATATAAAAATTATTATTAAAATTCACTATAATAGGTTTTTAATGCACAAAACTCATAGAAGTTTCGCTTTTGCATATTATGTACTAAAGTTTTCACTTGTGTTTTTTTACTGTAAAATATCAATTCCAATAAAAAACATTTAATTTATTTAAACAATTAATAATTTAAATTAAAACATCTAACATAAAAAAAACATTGGTTATTAAAACAGGAATATTACAAATGATGTATAAGCAAGAAAATGTGTTTAAAACATGGAATATTCAAAATTTAGACTTAAAGATTTTCTTTAGGCAAATATATTTGTAATGGTCTATGTTTGATAGACTCCACAAAATATTGTTAATTTCAATATTAGTTAATCAGTTATTAAGTATAAGGCTCCATTAAATTGGAAAAATTGTTTTCCGTGTCTACAACCAATTGTTTTTTTTTTTTTACTATTTTGTTAATTTTTTTTAATTTGAAGTCCAATGTCTTCAATTTAATTTCCATGAACATCGCATGGGTCATTTCACGTGTGTGAACTTAACAGCCATATTGTAACAGATCTCAACAAAAACACATTTGTTGGTCATTGTTAGACTATTTTAAAAATTCGTTAGACGTTCATTACAGAGCTATAATCTTTTTTCGAAAAGCGCTGCTAGATTCACGCTAACGGTCTCACATTATCGTAACTCTGTAAAAAGTTACCAACATGTTCGTATACATTTGTTGGACATTGTTGAAGCAATCACAACATTTGTTGGACTTTAGTTTTTTAGATTCACGCCAACTTTTGCAAAATACCCCAAAAATGGCACTAAACGGTATTTATTTTATTTACAGTCTAAAATCTGCGTATTATTATACATACTCTAACAAATAATAATATTCTTAAAATGGCATTTTTGTTGGTGGGGTGCATACGGTTAAAGGTTGATCGTCTGTCTATAATAATGTACTACTATTATTATTCTTATTCAATTACTTGTTGACTGTTGATTCACACACACATAGCAACCTAGAAACTGACTACGGCCAAAGTGTAAATTTACCCTATTTTTGGGGTTTTCCCTTAAAAAAAAAAAAATTTGACTACAGATTTTTGAGAAAATTGTATATGTTATAGTTCCATTTTAGATCTACCTTCAGTCTAATTTGCAGATCTAAATCTCTAAAACTTTGCTTGAAAAAGTGAAATAAAGAAAAAAATTCTATCCCTTCTAAGGGAAAGGGTTTATGATATTTTTTTGGTTTGTTAATGTTTGTCGATAGTACTATGTTTGAAGAACAATTCATATCAATTTGGAACATTTTCGACTATTTTTAAAAAATTTATATAGCATCGTAATTTTAAATTGAAAAATGTGTTAATTTTTTGTGTGTTTTTCTCAATGTTGATGGGAAAGGGGTGACTTTTTTAATTTGTTGCCCAATTAAATACCTTCCAGGTATGATTTCTGATCTATAGAGTTGCTACACTAAGGAATCAGTTCAGCGGTTTACGAGATATCGTGGGTCCAGACACAAAAATAAAAAATTAAAAAATAAAAACACATCATTGTAAAAACAATACCTTCTCAGCTCCGCATCGAAGCTAAAATTGTTAACTAGAATACAAGACAGTTTTCTATAAAAAAAAAATGAAGGGGCATCATTTCTAGTAATTGTTCCTTACCTCGATCTACAAATATCTAATTTTCGGGACTTTTCCCATTTTCCCAGAGGGATTTATGTTTTGTTAAGGATTTTTTTCCTTGGTTGGGTGTTTTGATAACTTATGTTTTGCCCCCACTTAATTTCAAATGGTTTGCGTCACTGACTTCAACATCTGTTGCTTACAGTAAATAGCACGGCTCAATAGCTATAACTTTTAACTGTTTTCATTTCTGAAGTAAATAGTCTTATGGAAGGTTCTGCGGTAATTCAAAAACATATATTTAAATAACCAAAAATCATAGTTATAACTGATTTCTTTGTTTTTTACAATACTTACTATATTACTTACAATATTTCGATTAAATTATAAAACCGCCATAAGTACTACTATCGAATAGTTTAATTATCAGTAAACACGATAATTAAATACTCTGAATCTGAGTTGGATTTTTTATAAAATTAACATGTATTTGAGTAATATCGTTTTATTTTTCTGCGTGACGATATACTTTACGCAATGTCAGGGTTTTGAACCAACTCCTGATCAAGCCGTAAGTATTACGACGAGCATTTATTATTTATAATTAATATATACTGATAAGATTCATGCTAAACTATATACAAAACGTAATATATTGTTTAGAAAATGTATTTAATGTTATTACCATCCACTGTTTTGCTGTGGATGTTTTTTAAGTGACTTTTTCATTTATAAATAATTCTTAAAAAATAATTATAAACAAAAGCCTAAACTTTTCTGAAATAATGTAATTTTACTGACAAAATCCGCAAGGCATATAATATGTCTGGTAGTTTGGTTCAGTTTTATGTGTAAGTTATAATACACATTTAAGGTTTAATTCTTATTCTGAAAATTATAGAAGGTAATGAATGACATAGTGGCAGCAAATTTGGAGGAAGATGGCACGATGGAAGCTAATAAATTAATAACTGTAATAAACGAGGTAGCAAGGGCGCTCGAAAAACCCCCCTTAAAGTTCACCAGAACAGAAGACATAAATTTGAGTAATATATAATAAAAAAAAATTCAATAAATATGTTGAGTAAAATTATCAAAAACTATTAAAATGACATTTTAACAATCAAGTTTGGCTTTTATATAGCTGTAACTTAATTTAATCTTTTAAACTATGATGTCATAACTAAAACATAAATGACCAGTTTATATTTTAAAAAAGAATTAAAATTACTAAGAATGTATAATTAAATATGACGTCATTATATTTAAATCACAATAATTTAAAATACATATGTTTTGAAATTGTAACACAATAATATTTTCAAACCTCTGCGGTTAATTTTGCCTAAGTTGGTTATTTAAAATATGTATAATACTTTGTACTTTCAGGTATTCTATTTTCAAAAGGCTGGGTTAAAATGTACGCCCTAAGATTTGTAACAGGAGCAGATCAAAATAAATTAGTAAATAACAACTATAATACTATACCTATAAAAAAAAAGCTAGTTAGGTTGTTTGTGTGGAGTTATTCGAAATATTCAACCTTCCAATTAGATTATTAACTCAATTCTGGTACTGAACCAAATCAATATTTTTTTTAACGTTGTTTTTCAAACGTTTGGTGTAATATATAGTTCCACCGAGCTTTTAATGAGTTATTCAGGATGCTCTATGGATACAAAAAATATTTTTTATTTTTAAGTTAAAATAATTTAAAATAGAACTCGCATATCATTAAAAAATGGTCTTATGAAAAAAAAATTACAAACTTGAAATCGAGAGAAAAAATCTTGTTAAGTTGATATGTTACATGATGTTTTGATCAACTCAGTGGTTATATTCAACAACTTAGAAATTATCAACATGTTTTTGATAAAAATGTAATTTTTGTAAATTAAGTTTGTCTCTGATTGTGGAGGGGGTACCGATGATCATACACGGGCTACTTCAATTTAAGAATTTAAGTATTGATTACCCTACAAAATAAATAAATAACTATTTTACCCTTACATTTTAAGAAGCATGTACTTACATGAGTTGACTTTAAAAAGGTTTTAAGGTTTTCTGTTAAGGTGGTATCATTTTAATTTGTTTTAAATTTCAAATTTTAAATGCCTCGAAATTTAAAAAAGTAATTCTTGATAGTAAACTAGAGCCACTAGAGAATAATAATTAGAGACAAACATATTTCACAAAAATTACATTTTTACCAAAAAAATGATATTAACTTTTAAAATATTAAATATAAAATTATTCTAAGGACACCACTGAGAGTTGAGAATAAAATTCTAACCCAAAATGATGGGTCGCCTGCCATAAATTGCTTTTGATCATAGGCCGGCCATTCTATGGGCGCATGTGTGGTTAGTTACTAAAAAATCATAATACATATCAACTCAACAAGATTTTATCGTAAGACCATTTTTTTAACAATGTATTGTACTTATAGAGCATCTAAAATGTCTCATTTGAAGCTCAGTAGAACTTGACATTATATTGTTAAAAATGTATTTAATGTTCTTACTATCTCCAGTTTTATTTCGAAGAGTTTTTTTCACTTATAAACAATCCTTGAAAACAAATATAATATACATTTTATATTTTATATTTTAATTCTGATTCTGAAAATTATAGTTTTCGATTGAAAACATAGTCAGAGAAAATATGGGGCCGGATGGCATAAAACTTGATAAATTAAAAACTGTACTTACCGAAGTAGCAAAGCGAACCGACTTAACAGAAGAGTTCCCCAATACTTTTGTATGGCAAAGGAGACTCCATTTACAACCAGGTAATAAACAATAGAAAATTATTAAGAAATCATGTTGCATAGAATGTTCAATAACTATTCAAAAAACTATCAGTTGTGTCATTTGTATAAATTTAGAAATTATAATTTTTTGAACTAAGAGGTCATAATAGTTATGAAGGTGATATAAAATTCAAAAAATAGGCGACTTTTTTTTATGATGTACAAAATAAAATGTTTTAATTACAATAATTTGAAGTCAAGATGTTTTTCTAGTGCAACACATTGTTATCCTTAACTAATTAGTCACGAATCGTTTATTAAACAAATGTATAATATTTTTTACTTTCAGGCCGTATATTTACATTGGACGAAGTTCATACCCTCTCCCTAGAGTTTGTAACAGGAGTAGATGAGGAAAAATTGGTAAATACAAACTAATACTATATTACAAAGAAAAAGCTCGTTAGGTTGTTTGTTTAGAGATATTCGAAATATACAAACTTCCAATTCTTTTGTGTTATAGGTTTAATACTTATAACTATAACAAGTAGTTTATATTTATGATTAGTAAAAATTCTCAAATTTTTCAAAAGTTGCTAACAAAAAAAATAAGTTGGAAGGGGGTAAAAACAATAAAAATTGTGAAAAATTGAGATCACATTATATAAAAACAATATGAAAAAAAAAAATGTATTTCTTATTAAACCCTATGAGATATTGAGTGGTTCACGATAAGTGGATTACCCAGTATTATATGTCTGGTAGTTTGGGGTTTTGCTTTTGCTGAAATAAGCTCCGTTTTATGTGTAAACTAAATATACATTTGAAATTTTAATTATTTTTCTGAAAATTATAGATGTCGATTAAAAACATAGTCGCAGAAAATGTGGGGCCGGATGGCATAAACCTAGATAAATTAAAAGCTGTACTTACCAATATAGCAATCCAAATCGACTTATCACAATACTTCCCAAGTATATTTATAAGGAAAAGGAAACTCGATCTTAAACCAAGTAATAAACTAAATAAAATTATTCAATAAATATGTTAAGTAAAATGTTTAAATATTATTTGAAAGACATTTAAGCAATTAATTGTGTCTTTGTATAACATTAAAAATATATATTTTTCGAAACTAAGATGTCGTAAATTATGAACATGATAAAAAATTGAGAAAATGAGGGACATTTTTTAAGATGTACAAAAAAAAAATTGAAAAATTGAAATCAAAAAAAAAGTATTAATTTTCCTAATATTGTACGCCTAATTTATATTTTTATTTATTTTCCTAATAATAAATATTACAGAATTATTGTAAAATTGCAATTAATTGAAATAAAGATGTTTTTCTAGAGCAACACATTGTTATTCTTAACTGATTTGTCACGAGTCGTTTATTAAACAAATGTATAATATTTTTTACTTTCAGACCGTATATTTACATTCGACGAAGTTCATACCCTCTCCCTAGCGTTAGTATCTGGAGCAGATGAGAAAACAATGGTAAATAAAAACTATAATACTATATTATAAATAAAGGGCTCGTTAAGTTATTTGTTTAATTTAATTCTTTTAACTATAACGTTTAGTTAAATTAATCTTATTTTTTTAACGTCCTCATTTTCGCGTCGAAGGAATATTTAAATGATTTTTTCAGATTTAGTTTTTCTATTTTTTTTGTCTTTTGAGATGTCGAATAATATTGTTTTTCTCTTAAAAAAAAATATAGGCATACTTACTTCGCAATAGTAAAATGATTCGATTTCATAATCGATTTCCATTTATTTTTTACACGTTAAATAAATAATAAATAGAAGAACCATTTCCGAATAATTTCTTCCAGTTTTTGACAGAAAGAGAAAATTTAAATTAAGAAATTTGTGTTCCTAATAAGAAAAAAAATGCGTTAACTACTATGAAATTTATGTTTTTATGCAGAAAAACCTCAAGAAATTTCTAATTTATTGTTGTTAGTAATTTTTATTTTGCTAAAAAAAGAATAGGAGTATTTATAAAATGTAATACAATATCTCATAGGGCTTTTATACAATGTGATCTTAATGTGTTTGTCATTTTTTCCCCCTCCCAACCAGTTTTTTTTGATACCAACTCTTGAAACTTAAATGGTAACGCATACATTTCAATATATTTTTTAATTAATTATAATTTACTTCAAGTTTTGACTGCTCGATAACCCGTTTTGGATAACTATTTTTGAAGTTATGAGAGTTTTTAGGGCAGGTGGATAGGTGGAGTGTAGTAATATTTTTGTCTGTGCCCACTTTCTGTCATTATTTCTTATTAGACCCTAAGAGATATTAAATGATTCAAAATAAAATGATCACTCTGTATTAATTGTCTAATTATTACTCTTGTAACAATACAGGAAACGATAAAAGACATGCTCGCGGAGCACGGAAATTTTGAAGGCTTAAATACCTATGAAAATATAAATCATACAATTGATGGAGTGAAACGGGAATTGGAAATAACTGATATATTATTACCCTCTTATGAAATATTTCAAGGATATCTACGCAGTTTATTTCTGAGTAATAAAACAATAGTATAATATTTAATAACTGTGTTGAATAATATGTCCAAAAACTATTGCAAAGAAGTACATTTTGTTTATTATATAGCTGTAAATTGATTAATTTTTAAAACTAATAAATCCTTACTCTTAATCTATACAAGAACTTTAAGAAATCGAGGGACTTTTTTTTGATAATGTGCAAAACAAATATAGAAAAATGTAAGATACATGATATTTAAAAAAATATATATATATATAAATTTTAATAATGTTGTAAAATTGTATTTTACATAATTATTCTAAAATTACAATTATTTTAGATAAAATTTTTTTTTTATTTAACACAGTTATTTACAACAATTTTGTTTGTTTATAAATTATAAAATATTTTGTGCTTTCAGACAGCAAACTCACTGTGGGCCAAATAGAAAAAATCCTCACTGATAACATAAAATAGTGCGTGTATGTGATATATCACATAAATATAGTTTTGATTGATTAATAAATATTATGCTATTATATTTCTTTAGTATTTATTGTATTACTTTTAAGTATTATTACCCAATCCCAACGAATCTGAAGTCATTACATTTTAAACGTAGTCAATTTTTCGGTTGCCGTGTATGAGTGAATATACATACAGTCAACAGGTATCCGAAAAATATTTTCATTATATTATTTATAAACATAGGTATGTATGGCGATAAATTAAAAGATTCCGAAACGTCGGCTTAAAACTATCGGCATGGATATATCTGAAACTCATCAGCATGATTTTAATGGCTAATACGAAAAAAGGTTATAAATTGTTACATTGTCTGCTCATTTATTTATTATCAAATTGCCAACAATAACTGTAATCATATTGCAGATAGGTATATTAGAATCTCCATAAAAAATTTGTATAGACTGAGGTTTTCGCAGAAAGCATTATTGATATCGCGGTCTTGGAAACTAAGGGTTCTTATTCATTTTTTTGAAAAATGGTTTTATTTTATAAAATGGTTTGTTAGGGAATAATTTATAATTTTTAATTAAAATTATTTAAGTTGGCATATTAATCAGGAAGATTCAGGACTATACAAAACTATAGTTTCTTGTATCCCGATAATCTGATTAGTTTGATTACCCTGAGACAGCGGTTCCCAACCTGGGGGTAATTACCCCCCTTTTTTTGGGACAGAGGGGTATTTGCTAATGTCTAATCTAATTTATGGGTTATAGTCTCAAAAAGGTTGGGAACCACTGCCCTAAGACGTAGATAACCTCTTTTGAAACTCAGTGAAATAGAGAATCAAAAGGTGCCTTGTTGACATAATTTTACTAACGACACAATAATATATTTTATAAGTTTATAGTCAAAAGGTTTTATTTATTTTACAAACACTATTCAGTATTCGATTTACATCAAATGGTTCTAAACACTGTACATATACCATACGAATTGTACGGTTTCTTGTTTATCGAAAACGATTGTTTTTTTAGCGTATTTCGTTTTATTGCTTGTATAGATGACCTACTAAAATGTTTGAACTATTTTTTAGTAGAATCCTGATATTTCAATAATTATAGTATAAAACTATTTTATACATTAAAGGAACAATATAATTCTATTACATTGTCCTAATAACAGCATTTATAGTTATAATTTAATATTAAATTAAATTTAGATATATTATATAACATTTATATATTCATAACTGCTAAAAATTAAAGAATGAAGATGAATTAAATTTATATAATAGGAGATCAAAAAATATGAACACAATAATACAAAATTAGTTAACTAGAATATAAGACAGTTTTCTGTCACCAAAAAATAATGGAACATCTATCGAGGGAACTCGAACTAACAATATAACATTTTTGGAGCTTTCCCGAATTTAAGGGTGATGGAGGGATTTTTTATACTACAAGAAAATACAATAAATTGTAAACCATTTTAATAGTATTATAATAAAGGTATTATCTACAAAAAGTTTTATCATGTTTTTTCCTCCAACGCTTTTATTATTTATAATAATATAGAAGTTGAAAATATTTATAATAGCCTACGTATGTATGTTAAGATGTTTTTTACAATGTATGTTTTATTAAAGTATAAATATCTTCTCAGTTGCCGAAAAATAAATAACGAACAAAACAACAAAAGCTTTGGATGTTAGCTACAACAAAAATGTATGTTTTAATAGATAATTAACTATTCTTGTCTTAGACTGTAGATTCGCATTTTTTCCTTAGCTAGGTGTTTTGATAACTTATGTTTTGCCCCCACTTAATTTAAAATGGTTTGCACCACTGTCTTCAACTTCTGTTGTTTACAGCAAACAGCTCGATAGCTACAAACTTTAAACTGTATTCATTCCTGAAGTATATATTCTTATAGAAGGTTCTGCGGTAATTCAAAAATCATTACTTTAAATAACTAAAAATCATAGCTTGAATCACAGTCATCAATCAATTGTACAATATTTCCATTAAATTATAAAATCGCCATAAGTACTACTATCGAATAGTTTGAAACAGTGTTTACTAATAATTAATTTTTCTGGATCCGAGTTAATTTTTTAAAAAATTAACATGTATTTGAGTAATATTGTTTTATTTTTCTGCGTGACGTTATACTTTACGCAATGTCAGGGTTTTGAACCAACTCCTGATCAAGCTGTAAGTATTACGAGCACTTCTTATTTATAGTTGACGTATACTAATTAGATTCATGTTTAACTATATACAAAACGTAATATATTATTTAAAAATGTATTTAATGTTATTACCATACACAGTTTTGCTTCGAAAACATTTTTTAAGTGACTTTTTCATTTGTAAATAATTCATTAAAAACAATAAGAATAAAATAAAAGATACACAAAAAAAAATGTGGGGGAAACGGAAACGATAATGCAAGGCTCTATTAAAGGTTTTCACATAGGTATTACCATTGAGTATTGGTATTACATATTATATTTTAACAGCTTGCGTACGAGTCCGCAACACTACGAGATACATTTTTATGTATCTAAGGTGGCTAGTAAACATATTAAGTTCCTGGCTGATATTTTAGTGTTTTCATAATATCTGGCCCAAAACAATTCATAGAAAATGTGGCCCCTTAAATTATTGAATTTATTATTCAGTTCTATTTTGAACGTTGTGAATACAACAGATATGTATCGATTTTTCCGGTTGTGTTCCAAAGTAAGAACCATACCTCTTATCTCTTACCGCTTTCCCTTATCTCTTATCTTTCTTATCAGTAAAATCAGCTGTGTCGATTTTCCGCGTGTGTGCCATAGCAAAGACATAAAAATGTCAAAAATTCCTTAACTAATCTGAAATTAAAGTAATAATACTAAAAAAATCCGCAAGGCACATAATATGTCTGGTAGTTTGGCGTATTTATTTTGCTAAAGAAGGGTCTGGTTTATGTATAAATTATAGTATACATTTTAAATTTTAATTTTTATTCTGAAAATTATAGATGAAGATTAAAGACATAATCAAAGCAAATGTGGGGCCTAATGGCACAATGGAAGTTAAAAAATTAATAACTGTAATAAACGAAGTAGCAAGAGGGCTCGGCATGGTCCCCTTAGATATCACCAAAGTGGAAGAACTAAAAATAAGTAATATACAATAAAAAATACTCAATAAATACTTAAAATATGTTCCATGGAATTATCAATAATTATTGAAAAGACGTTTTAACAATCACGATTGGCATTTATATAGCTGTAAATCAATTTATTATTTTAAACTAAAAAATTATAGCATTAAATAAAAAATTATAAAATAGGATATATTTGACCAGTTTATAATTAAAAAATGTAATTTACTAAGAATGTATATTTTAATATGACGTCATTATATTTAAATCGCATTAACTTAAAATACAGTTGTTTTGCAATTGTAACACAATAATATTCTCAAACCCCTGCGGTTAAATTTGCCTAATTTGGTTATTTAAGATATGTATTATACTTTGTACTTTCAGAATTTGAATTTTCAATAGACATGGTTAAAATCTACACCATATCGTTTGTAACAGATGTAGATGAGGAAGAATTGGTAAATAAAAACTATAAAAGTATATTATAAATATGAGGCTCGTTAGTTGTTTACATATTATAGGTATGCGAAATATTCAAACTTCTAATTCTATTGTGTAGAATAGGTTAAATACTTATCGCTATAACAAGTATTTAGTATTTATAATTACTAAAAATTCTTAGGTTAATGCTGTTATATACAAAATGTAAATTATAATTTAGTAAATTAATCTTATTTTTTATCGTCCTCATCTTCGCGTAGATATTTTAAAAAGGATTTTTATAAAATATATTTTTCACATTAAGTTGTTTTTCCATTTTTTTTATCTTTTGGGAATAAAAAAACAACTAAAAATGATTTTTATGGACATGGCCAAAGTATTAAAAAAGAAATCCAATAAAATTTGAGACATTTTTTTTTTTTGTAGTAGGTATTCAAACGTTAATTCGTTCTTGGCGTTTTAACCCAAATGTACATTGTTAAGAAAAGGTATTAATGTTCTTACTATCCCCACTTATTTACTTCGCAGAGTTCTTTTTCACATATAAAAAAATCTTAAAAACAATATGATAATATGTCTTAACTTCTTTGAATTTGATGTTATTATGCTGAAAAAATCTGCAAGGCATATTATATGCCTGGTAGTTTAGCGTTTTAATTTTGCTAAAGTAAGCTCCAGTTTATGTGTAAATTATAATATACATTTTAAAGTTTAATTCTTTTTCTGAAAATTATAGATGTTGGTTGAAGACATAGTTAGAAAAACTGTGGGGCCTAATCGCATAAACAGTAATACATTAGAAGCTGTAGCTATCGAAGTAGCAAAGCGAACCGGCTTATCAGTAACGTCGAGCTATATGTTTGTACTTCAAAAGACACTCGCTCAAAATCCAAGTAACATACAATAGAAAAATATTCAATAAATATGTTGAGTGAAATGTTCTAAAACTATTCAAAAGACATTTAAACAATCAATTGTGTCATTTGTATATAAATTTAAAAATTTGTTTTTTTTTTAACTAAGAGGTCGTGTAATAATTATGAACGTGATAAAAAGTTGAAAAAATAGGCGACCTTTTTTATGATGTACATAAAAAAAATTTCAATTACAATTATTTGAAATAAAGATGTTTTTCTAGTGTAACACATTGTTATTCTTAACTCATTTGGCATGAATCCTCTGTTTAAAAAATGTTTAATACATTTCAGACCATTTATTTACATTCGACGAAGTTAATAGCATCTGCCTAGCGTTTGTAACAGGAGTAGATAAGGAAATATTGGTAAATACAAACTATAATACTATATTACAAATAAAAGGCTCGTTAAGTTGTTAGTTTAATTTAATTATTTTAACTATAAAAAGTACTTAGTGTTTATGATTAGTAAAAATTCTCACATTTATACTGTTATTTAATTTGTTTTATTTTTTTAACGTCTTCATTTTTACATCAGAAGGACTTTTTCATAATATGTTTGTTTTCATACATTGGGACCTCGAATGTGAATAATTTTGTTACTGATTTTTTACACATAACATAAATAATAAATAGACCGTTTCTGAACAATTTCTTCCAGTTTATAATACAGAAAGCGAGAATTACAATTTTGTTTTTTCGATAAAACGGAAAATTATCTTATTTTTACACATAATTATTTTGATTAATGTGGTCGCAAGACATATTATATTGTGTCTGGTAGTTTAGCGTTTTGATTTTGCTAAAGTAGGCTCCGTTTTATATGTAATATTAATATACATTTTAAAGTATAATTATTATTCTGAAATTTTTAGGTGTCGACTAAAGAGATAGTCACAGCAAATGTGGGGCCAGATGGTATAGTCACTAATAAGTTAGAAGCTTTACTTACTGAAGTAGCAAAGCGAACCGGCTTATCAGAAGAGTCCTCCGGTGTTTTTGTACTGCAAAGGAAACTCAATGTACAACCAGGTAATAAACAATAGAAAAATATTCAATAAATATGTTGAGTATAGTGTTCCTTTTTTTTTTTATCTTAAATTAACAACTTAGGTTACTGGGACCATTAGTTACATTTTTTTTAGTACATACTGAAACATCAAACAAGTTTCCCCGTTTACCAATTTAAATTAAAGAGAGTTTCTAAATTTGGTCAAAGAGTTGGTTTTGGTTAAGGAAGCGTATTGAAGTGCGATTGCTTTTAACTTTTGGTCCCAGAATGGTGTCCATGTGGGTTGCTAAATTAAGGTTTGTTCGTTCGTCTTCATATTTTCTGCATTAGGTTAGAATATGTTTCACTGTAAGGTCGCCCCCGCTTGTCTCGAAAATGTGAGATTCAGTCTATTCCATGAGGTATCCATCGGTAGGTTTGACATGTCTTATAGGTAACCTATTTATTACTGTACTCTTCTTCCTGGACAACTTTTAGTTGTCCAAGTTTAGTTGGCAAGATTTGTTTGTGTAAAAAATGTATAATACTTTCTACTTTCAGACCGTATATTTGCATTGGACGAAGTTATTACCCTCTCCCTAGAGTTTGTAACAGGAGCAGATGAGGAAAAAATGGTAAATAAAACTCCTATCTCTAATATTTTATCTCTAATCTCCTCTCCTCACCTCCACCGCCGCCAAGTGTGACATCCAGCGTGACGTTGCGGACAAATTTTAAGGATGACCCCCCGCCATAAAACACATTCATGTCAATAAAAACGTTACAAAAATCGGTTATGCGAAATCAGTCAGAAAAAAAAAGTTGTGTACGTCCCAAAAACATATTTATGTTAAAACTATAACACTACATAACAATAATACTATATAACAAATAAAAGGCTCGTTAGGTCATCGTAGGATTTTTTTAGGTGATCTTATCACATTCAGTTATTTTTCAGTTTTTTTTTTATCTTTTTAGATATCTGAATATAAAAAAAAAGAGCTAAGCAAAAAACTAAAAATACTTTTTATGACTATAGCAAAAATAATAAAAACAGAAATCCAGTAAAACGTGGTTATTCAAACGTTAGGTTGTACTTGGCATTTTAACCCAATACGAGTATACATATATTTTTAAAAAAATGTATTTAATGTTCTTACCATCCCCATTATTACTTTGAAAAAATGTTTCACTTATAAACAATTCTTAAGAACAAAAAAAAATGCCTTAACTACTTAGAAATTGTAGTTATTATGCTGAAAAAAGATACAAAGCATATTATATTAATTAATTCCTTAACTAATCTGAAATTAAAGTAATAATACTAAAAAATTCCGCAAGGCATATAATATGTCTGGTAGTTTGGCGTTTTTATTTTGCTTAAGTTAGCTCAATTTTATATACAAACTATTATTTACATTTTTAAAATTAATTCTTATTCTGATAATTATAGATGTTGGTTAAAGACATAGTCACAGAAATTGTGGGGCATGATTTCATAAACCTTGGTAAATTAAAATATGTACTTACCCTAGTAGCCACCGAAACCAGATTATCAGAAAACTTCCCAGATATTTTTATAAGGAAAAGGAAACTCGATCTTGAACCAAGTAATAAACTAAAGAAAATTATTCAATAGATATGTTGAGTAAAATGTTTAAATATTATTTAAAAGACATTTTAAAAATCAATTATGTCATTTGTATAACTTTAAAAATATATATTTTTTTAAACTAAGTGTCATAACTTATTTATCTGATAAAAAGTTGAAAACATTTTAAACAGTGGACATTTTATAAGATTTGTAGAATTACAGTTATTTGAAATAAAGATGATTCGTTTATTAAAAATGTGTAATACTTTATACTTTCAGATCGTATATTTACATTGAATGAGGTTTATGACCTTGCCCTAATGTTTGTAACAAGAGCAGATGAGAAAGAAATGGTAAATAAAAACTATATTACTAAATTACAAATAAAAGCCTCGTTAGGTTGTTTGTGTGAAGATATTCAAATTATTCAAACTATCAATTCTTCTGTGTAAAATAGATTCAATTATTTTAACTATAACAAGTATTTATGATAGTTTAAAATTATTGAATGTATGCTGTTATTTCTAAAATGTTAATTGTAGTAAATTTATTTTATGTTTTTATCGCCCTCATTTTGGCATCGATAGATTTTTATAAGTGATTTTTTCCATTTTTTTTATCTTTTGGCATCTTGAATAATATTATTTTTCTTTTATAACAAAAAGTGTATACATAGGAACTTCCAAACAGTAATACGATTCGATTTGCATAGTAAATGATTTTTTACACGTAAAATAAATAATAAATAGAAAAACCATTTCCTACTTCTTTTTGTTTTTTGACATGAATAGAAGAATTTAAATAAAACAAAGATTTTTAATACTAAGAAAAACATGCGTTAAGGACTATAAAATTAATTTTTTTATGCAGAATAAACCTTATGGCATATATAATGTCTTGTTGTTAGTAATTTGTATTTCACTAAAGAAGAATAAGTGCTATTTGTAAATTGTAATACAATATTTAATGTCTAATTATTACTCTTGTAACAGTAGGAAACGATTAATAACATGACCTTGAAGTACGGAAATTTGAATGGCCGTAATACCTATGATGATTTGATACATGTAATTGACGGATTAAAGCAGGAAATGAATAAAAGCAATAGATTATTCCCGACTTATGAAGAATTTCGAGCAAGACTATTCCGCTCTTTTCTGAGTAATAAAACAGTAGTATAATATTTAATAATTGTGTTGAATAAAATGTTCAAAAACTACTGCAAAAACATTTTAATACTACATTTTGTCATTTATATAGCTTTAAATAAATTAAATTTTTTACACTATAAAATTAAAATTCGTGAATCATTTAAAAAAGTTTAAAAAATGTGAGATCTTTTTTTAATGATGTACAAACAAAATTAGCAAAATGTGAGATGCATAATCATGATTTTTTAGTTATAAGTTTTACTTATATTGTATAATTAATTATTACAATATTATTCTAAAATTACAATTATTTTAAATAAAAATGTTTTTCTAGTGGAAAACATTCTTATTCTCAACTCTGTTGGCCTAATTTATTTGTAAGTTGTATGATATTTTGTACTTTCAGAAGGCAGACTCACTGTGAACCAAATAGAAAAAACCCTCCTTGAAAACATACACAGTATAAAAAAAAATTAAGTAAATGATAAAGTTTGATTATTTAATAATATTATTTAAAATAATATTAAATATTATTAAATTATTGCATGTATGAAGTATATTATATAAATGTAGTTTTGATTGATTAATAAATATTACGCACTTATGTTTCGTTGGCATTTATTGTATTACTTTTAAGTATTATTACCCAATTCCAGTGACAGCACATGAAATGAATATGAATATGCTTTATTTATAGTTTAGAATATTTTGGCCTACATAAATTGATTTTATATTGTGACCTGATAGATAATTTTTGAAATAAAAATTAAAAAATAACATTTCTTTCTTGTACACAAGCGTTATCCTGCAATTATATTTTAATTAAACAAATTATTTTTTTTTAAGTTGGAAAAGGTGTCTATATATTATTATTATTATTATTATAATATAATAATAATATATAATAAGACATACCTAACATTACTAATATTTTATCAACAAGAGATCATTAATCATTATTCGGCCAATATTACTACGAGTATAATACTAAAATTAAACGTCTTTCTAAGATAATAAAGAACATAATCTAATTTCCTTAGATCCTTAAACATTCCTTTTAATATCCATTCTATGCTCAATTCCAATTCCGAACCTCCCATCCTACACATTGTTTCCTTTATTACCGAGGCTGGTTTTTCTATTTAATGTATTTTGTTAAGTTTTGTTTTAATTTTGTATACATCTATTAGCCGTTTTTTTATTGTTTAATTATTTGTAACTGTCGAGATATATTGTACATATGCAGAATCTCAAAAAAAAAAAAAGAACATAATCAACTAACAATACTAAACGTTCGAAGAATGTGTATTATAATAATCGTCCATTGTTTTTATGCTACGTATGGTTTTAGCAGCCATATTTATCGAAACTATTGTTTAAAAAAAAATTGCGAATATTACATGTTATTTAACATTTATAATTAAAAAATACACGAACATAACAAATTATGGAAATCGCGTCATTGGATTTTCTACGTGAAATCATAAGATAATATGTGACAAAATATACTCGAGTTGTAATGTGAATTTTCGAGAGGTATTTTATAATATTTTCTTTTTGAATTCGTAATAGGATAATCTATGATTTTAGCTATTGACTGATTGTGCCGGACAGCCCGTAGAGGCCAGCGGTGAATAATAATAATAATATAATAGACGTTTGGAAACAGCGAAAATTGTCGGTTTTAAATGAATATATTGTCCGCGTATACACATCATAATGTAGGTACGATCGACGGAACAATGCACGTCATCGGATAACATTGCCATGACTAAGGACATTTCCACCTACATTATTATATGTATAATAATATATTATAGTAACGAACATTATCGGGCCGAAGCGATAAATTTTCGGCGCTTTTGTTCAGGCTAGTCACGACCACCGTGCAGCAGTAATAGCGGCCAAAGTTAACAACGACCGCGGCGATGTTCTTCTAAACGAACCGTTTACCACGGCTGACCGGTGTTAATTGGCCGGAAACCGCAACTGATTAATACCCGCACCGCTGCTATTGCAAAATAACGCTATACTAAACCTTTCCCCTCCCCCATGCACACATGCACAACGCACAACTTATAAAAATCTCCAGTTGAAAGCTATTTCGTTTAAAAAATACAAAATTGGCCGTTCGATTGTCTGAATAAAATCGAATTTACATACTTTATTTCGTTTCCAATAATTATCCGGGTCAAAGCAACAACTGATGTTTTTTTTTTTGAATAACTCAATTTAATAACCGCGGCTATTTTTTTAGTTAAACTTTTTTTTTTTCAGTTATGCCGAGATAATATCAATTATGATAGTATCATACTCGTTGTGCTTTTGATGTATTTGAACACAAACGTGAGTAGCGCTCGTTAAAAAGCCCAATGCCAATAACACTAGAGACACAATACAGAAATGCCTCACAAAAGCTGCTGGCAACATTTAATGCGGATGTTGGCCGGTTGCCTTTACCCCTCGAAATTATCTTTATGCGTAAATACTCTATTTTGCCGCAAATTAGATTACGCTATGACGGTATATTTGTGTAAGATGAGAATATATTAAACTCCAAAACCCTTTGCGGCAGTCAGAAAAAAAACCGCATACAATAACCGTGGTGGCTTATATGTAATCAGTTTTTTGTGTGTCTTAATTATTATTCTTATAAAATAGCATTCCTAAAATGTAAATAGTCAGTCGTTATAGTGATAAAATATTTTTTTTTCTTTGGAAAAATAATTGTTAATAATTTTTTATAAAATTGCTTATTAAATTTTTTTTTAATTATTAAATTATTATTTTAAGAAGTAAAAACACTTGATAAAATTACCATCTTACCTTTTATTTGAAATGTAACTTACTTTAATCCGAAATCCAAATTCAATTCAGTTTTTTGGCGTTGTGTTTTTAAACATTTTACTTGAATTCAAATTTATATATTGTATTTATAAGCTTTTTATATAGCATAAATAGCGTTTTTTGAAGAAAAAAATCCACATTTTCAAATTCCCATCACTAATATGTAAAGCCATAATACATTCAATTAATGTTTTATGTAGTAAAGATATAATCAGAATGTCAGTTTAAAATATCTTAAGAAAATTCTAAAATTCTTAAAAACTCGACTTAAATTAAACTCGTGTAGTGTAAAAACATTTATATACTATCTTGAACAACTTAGCCTATTGTTTATTGATAGAAAAAGTATGTTTAATTTCCCGTTATTTTACATCATATTGTTTTTATTTTTAAGAAAATATTATTGTTCAAAGAGGCTTTAGCCAATATGGCAACTCCGAGTAAAATGCTTTACTTTCATTTTGCCCAATTTCCGTGACGTTGTGATGGTATTGTTTTATTAGATTCCCTGTCTATTTAAAATATAAATTCTCCCTACAACATTCTTTGGTCCTTTTCTTCCTATTGTTATACAAGCACTGACCCTTGTCAGATTTTTATCCATCTCATCTATCCATTATGTACATGTACAATATTAAACGCAAAATACACCATATTGTTTGTCGAACAACTTTATCTGTGAATCTGGCGACGTTTCGGCTACTGTGCAATATTGTATGTGTTTGCTGTTGTTTCTTTGGAATTGGACCGGAGGGAATGACGAGGGACCTTGATAAATGGTCCGAAACAGATTTAATAAGACTACCGTCGCCACCCTCAAGCATATACAGCCAACCTGCTGTTACCCTCCACCTCTCATTCCATCACTCCGAGACCTATGTGCTCAGCAAGTTAACGAAACTTCATTCATTTTTAACAAATTTTCAATTCAGTTGATCCCGTCTGAAAACATTTCGTTATAAGTAAATCAAATACGGAATAAAACGAATAAGGAACAAATTATTTTGCTAATTCACTCTTTTGGAAAACATACTTCTCCTATTTAAAAATATATTATAAACATTTAAACAATATTATAATTAGTATTTTATAAATACTTTAAATTATTATTATAGTCATTACAGATATGAGATATGAATCACAATTTATACTAGTTAAAAAAAAAAATTATTAAATAAAAAATATCGGGGAACTAAATAATAAGAAGTTTATAACTATTAAAGTCTGGAACCAATAAAAAAAAATGTTCCATAGCTGAATCATAGAGTAATCTAAAGAAGCCGTTCCCTATAACCCCTGGATTCTACATTTGTTCGACAGGTGACTCCTTTTTGCAGTTTGGCCATAATTATAGAAAAATTGTAGGTATTATGTATTTAGTTATTGTTTAAGCGAATTAGTTGTTGACTGGTATGATATTAATTGATCGGTTACCACCTTTATTTATACTTTTTTTTGTACACTAAACCACACATTTACACATATTATATTAAAACATTTTCTGTACAAGTAATTTAATTATGTTTTTTTTTATGCATGCATTAGTACTATAAAATCAAATACATTATAAAATTATAAAAATACCATGTGAAATATTTTTTTAATTTAGACTGATCACTGATCAACAAGAATAATTTACCTACGTAAATAATCATTCTTTGAAATTTACCTTGTGAGTGGAGACAGATAATTTTCTTTCATTTAATAAATGCTACTTTATAATTAAATTCCATCTAAAGAAAAAGTACACAATCCAATTTAGCCGAGTAAATACGTTGCAAGTGCAAAAGTTAAACGAATTTAAAATTAAAAAAAAATTCAAACATCTTGACGTTTCTGAGAATTTATAGTGCGTCAGACAACTCGGTCTTTTTACTTATAAAAGGAATTAACTCCTTGCAAATTTCTGTCGACTGTAATACAATTATTATAATACGGCACAGCGTATTCAAGTCTACAGCTAGCCAATTATGTATATTATAAGACAGAAGCCTAGAGATCACATTGTGAGAAGAGATCATTATGTCTTCATTTAACTACTTTGTCGATGGACCAGTATTAATACAAAAAAAAATTATCACTATGCATATTATTTGTGTAAAATATTGACAAACACCTCCATATTATAATATAGCATTGTACGCAATATCTCTACGTGAAAACAAAAAAGAGAGGAAGAATGAAGGTACAAGTAAAATGTTTAACAAAGATGTAAAATATTGTAAGTTATTTAAGCTGTAAGACAACAAGAGACGATAAATTATTAACGAAATTCTAACATCCTTAGCGTAACAAAGTTTTAATTAAAGAGAGTTACTCGTTTAATACAACAAATAACAAAGCATTTTCTAGTTATTTACATTTAGAAAGAGTGACATTATTATAATTAATGGAATGTTATGTTGGTACAATCATGTTTTGAAAATCTTGCCCATATATTCGCGCAACAAGAAAATATCTCGTGGATAATGTATAACTAGACAACACAACATAGGCGCAATTTCAATTTTTAATTTGGGGGGGCTGGACATTTTTTTTATATATATATATATAAGTAAATATATTTTTGTATTTCAAAATTGTATGCATAACCTAATTTTTTTGGGGGGGCTAAGCCCACCCTAGCCCCC